TGTTTTGTACAAGTAAATATTTTATTTTTTCACAAGTCTATAAGATATCAAATTAATTACAAAATCCACATATATGCGGGTCCTTTATCTAGTACAATATAAAACATCTAAATAATATGGAAAGAAAAAAATGGTTAGAAAATACAGTGATTATTAGTAATTTATGATTTTAAATTACTTGATATATGGTTTTCATGTAATTTATTCTTTGAATATTTGGACTGTAGGCTAATTATTTTTTGTTTTTTAACATTTGGTTTATACAATAAAACTAATGGGGGCAAAGAATAGATGTTCAATAGGGGCACAATTCAAACTCTTTAAACATTACACTAACTATTACAAAATCACGGGGGCAACTGCCCTCTTCTAATACAACCTACCTCCGCCCCTGTATACTAATACTTGAACATTTTGTTTAATATATCAAATAAATTTTGATTTCCAAAAACAAAATAAATACACCGTTTTTAATTATAAATTCTCCAAATTATGCGGATATTATAGTCTTCTAACCAAGAAAAGTTAAAAAATAAAATTTTAAAAGGTTAATTTTCAAAGATTTTAAACATGAGTTAATTTTCAAATTTTATAAAAAAAAATTAGAATATTAAATCAAATCTCCCTTTATTTATCTCCAAATATACCACAAAATAAGAAGACAAATATTCGTAGAGGGCCGGCCCAATAATTTTTTATTTTAGAAGGCTCTACGTCTATTTACAATATCAGCCATTCGCATCTCCCTCTTTACTTTAGCGTTAGGGGTTAGGGTAGATTCGTCATTTAGATTCACAAGCAAAAAAATCGAAGAAGCGCCTATTTCATAATTCGAAATCCAATCTCAGAATTATCTCTCTCTCTTTCTCGGAATTTTCTCGGGAAAAATGTCTTCGATTGTTTCTCAAGATATGGATTCTCTCGGCATGCAATCTTATAGCCGCAAGGAGAAATCTCTAGGCGTTCTAGTCGTCAAGTATACCTCTCTCTCTTACGAATTTATGATTTTCTCGAGATCTCCACCTGATTATAGATTTCTGTGTAATTTATGTCTTCTGTACGATTCAGTTTCTTGAGATTGTATAACCGAGACGATGCTGATTTGATTGGGCTCGATGATGCTGCTGGGAAATTAGGTGAATCTTCCTCCCAACTTTTGTTTTCGCTTTTTGTGAAATTGAAATTCGACCTGATTTAAGCGTTTGATTCCGAATCTAAGAACAATTGGGTTATATAAAAATCTCTACTATTTGATTAAGCTCTCATATATCGATTTCTCGAATTTGCAGGAGTTGAACGTCGGCGAATATATGATGTGGTCAATATACTGGAGAGCATTGGGGTAAGTTTTCATTTTCTGGGTTACTTAATCTCGCGATTCGCTTGAGCTGA